AGACCTGAAACGTCAGCTTTCCTGCTCCTCTGATGCTGCCTGGCCTGCTGCGTTCATCCAGCTCTACACCTTGTTATCTATGGAAGAAAGCTATGTAGCCATGTTACTAAACAGCCTGCCACAGTGCTACATATATTCAAATGGCTAAAGACGAAGGAAATTGGTGTCATCCAAAACAGGCTGATAAAACAATCTTAAGAGTGACATTGAGCTTGGGCCAAGGTCACAAATTGGGTGGTAGCAGACTGGGTATCTGTTGTCTAGTTTTCTTTTCTGTTAACTTCAGTACGGAAGACTGAAGATATCGATATATGAGCACAATATTAACAGCAAAAGACCTGAATGAATAGCTGGTTTTAAGGGCAGGGATTTTTGTTGCCTATTTTTGTTCTTCACTTCCTTGTTTTCTTTCTTACACACGTGGATATTCTGTGGTGACTCCCACAGTAAGTCAGAAGATTCAGATTCTATCAGAGCAGAAATTTGCACCATTATTTTTTGCAGGGTTTCTCAGTCATTTATCTTTAGAAATTTGGTGGATAATTTGTGGAAATCGCAACAAAAGAATAGACAAACCCAAAGGAAATTTAATCTCCCATCTTGTGGTTTTTTTTCTAATTTCACTCTGTGTGGAAGTTCTGGGAACAAACAAATCTTGAGGTGATTGTTTTTCTTTTGCAAAGCAATACTATGTGTCATCGGAAAGCTATTCATATGTGATTTGTTGATGATGTATGGAGATGATATTTAAACCAATTTGCAATATGTGTCACATATTGTTTCCAAATGCAATACTTTCAACTGTGACTCTTTGAAAAATGGTAGGTGTTTAAAGGTAAATAATTTTTCTGCTATATTGCCAAAGACTTTTCATGATCACAGATATACCTTAGTCATAGAATCATAGAAGTAGTAACAAGAAGTCAAACAATCTTACAACCTATGGGTCATTCCCAACAAGTTTCTAAAGCCTTTCCTGAGAAATAGATTTCTAAAACAATGGGGGATGACAGCAGGATAGATTTGTACCTTTGGGAACAGCACTGTAAATGTGATTATTACTTCTTCTCTTTGAAAACTGCCAACACCTATTCCTCAAAAAAAATCCTTGACTCTGCTAACTACTACCAATATCTAAACCCATTTTCTTCTCTAAATCTCTCTTTGTGTTGTCACTTCCCACTTCTACAGTTAATTCTCCTGTAATTCCACTTGAGTCTCAACAGTCAGGTTTCCTTCCTTCCCGTAGCATGGAAACATCGCTAACCAAAAAACAGTTGACAACTTTCTTTACTTTTCATAACACAGCTGGCAGCCAACTCTGCAGTCGTTGAAATTCACTTCTGTGGAATCAAATCAATCCACTCCTCTGTTACACTTTCCTCTTTTAAGACCATCTTTAAAATTTGTTAGTCTAACATTTTGCTCATCTAAATGTTTAGCCCATCTAAACGTTTCTTTGGCTCAACTTTCAGTTTGTCTTTCTCTTCAGGATGCACCTGAGAGCATTTTTTCTGTAATAAAAGTGCAGTTTAGTGCTCTGCGTTTCCCCATAGGCTTTGGGACACCTACAGTGAGATTAAATGCAAGTGTCAAGCCCGCAGTTTGCCTACTGCAGCAGCTTGCTAAATGGTTGCCTCAGCATTCATTGCCAAAGTAAAGATTTCAAATGGGCCAAGGAAGTAGGAGATTCAATAGGAATGTATGTAGCAATGTTAGAAAGCAGCTGCATCTGGATGGGAGCACCTGTTGGTCTTCTTAAAACATAGCGATCAAAAAGGTCTTTTCTCTTCAATGATGAAAAAGATGATGAATAATGTGAGGGACCTCAGGGTGGAGATTTGATCCCTCTAGAAGAGTACCTTTGGCCAATTCTGGTCACCTGTGAGCATGACGACCCCTAACTCTGTCAAGTATTTCAGCCACTCAAGGCCTGCTAACTTACTGGCAAAGAGCTGTCTCCACAGCATTGCCAGACTCCCAAAATATTGAAGGATCATAATATCCCAGGAAAATTATAATGCAAGGGAAATAAGACAATTGACTGGGGTCTTAACTGGCTTCATTGCTTACTCACTTCCATGGTAAGGGCCACTTTAGAAAATCACCTGCAAAGCATTGGGAGCTATTCCATTTAGAATTCCCCTTGCTTTTCCCAGCAGCACTGCCTTAAACCCTTCTCTACAGCGCTAGGAAATTTAAATAGCTGTTGTTGTTGTCATGGAGACAGTAAGGACTGCAGACGCTGGAAGCTAGAGTCAATAAATGTGGAGCTGGAAAAGCACAGCAGGTCAGTCAGCTAGGTGAAAAATACAATATAGCATTTATCAGAAGCATCTGAATGATATCAAACCAAAATTCATAAATTGAGAACTTTTGTTCAATGTCATTCCGAATAATTGATCATTGGAAACTCTCTGCATGATAGTGGAATAAGTGTAGAAGAACATGGGAAATGGCTGACCTGAATGCAGAATTCATCTGAAAATAAATTGTCTCTAACTCTTAATATCATATGATTAAAATATTTTAACTGCATTTGCCGATGACAGATTGTTGTTCTTCTTTAAATATAGTCCTCAGAACAAAGCAAAAGTTGCTTGTTATTGGAACGGCACAGTGGCTCAGTGGTTAGCACTGCTGCCTCACAGCACCAGGGACCCAGGTTCGATTCCACCCTCGGGCGACTGTCCGTGTGGAGTTTGCACATTCTCCCCGTGTCTTTGTGGGTTTTCTCCGGGTGCTCTGGTTTCCTTCCAAAATCCAAAGATGTGCAGGTTAAGTGGATTGGCTGTGCTAAATTCCCCATAGTGTTCAGAGATGTGTAGATTGGGTGAGTTATAGGGATGGGTCTGGGTGGGATGCTCTGAGGGTGGACTTGTTGGGCCAAAGGGCCTGTTTCCACACCGTAGGCATTCTATGAGATGAGCTAGTTCTCTGAATCTACAAGATTCAATCTCAAAGCTTTCAGAAGAAATTTGCGAGGCAAACTACTACACTAGGTATACCTACGGAAAATAAAAACTGTAATTAGTACTTTGGAATTCCAATCACCCTAATCGAAACAGTGAACAGCAACCACTGTTCTAACCCCACCATCTCTACAAGCTTGTTTCAGAGATAGTAGGAACTGCAGATGCTGGAGAACCTGAGATAACAAGGTGTAGAGCTGGATGAACACAGCAGGCCGAGGAGCAGGAAGGCTGACGTTTCGGGCCTAGACCCTTCTTCAGAAACCTGTCTGTAATTGTGGTGGAAGATCAGTAGAAATTATCAGACATCGATCCCAATCTTCCACCATTTACTCTAGAAGGAAATTTGGGCCATCTCCAGTCAATATATTTTGCAATTTGAGAACTCCTTTGGCATTTCAAAGGCTTTGGAAATTTTGCCCCAATACAGACCAATTTGACTATATGTGCTCATCTCAAATTCTTAATCCCACTTATGGTGGGGTAAAGTTTTTTTTTAAGAAGTAGATTCACTTACTGTCAAACTTTTCAGGCACAACACAGGTGTCATCATAAAAATGTCTGGGACCCTTTTCATACATGCAACCTGTGGGAACAGAAAAGAAAGGGAGAATTACTACAGGCTGATTCCACTGCAGATACAAATGAATTTAAATTTAGAAAAGACATCAGGGTAGATCTATGAAGATAAAGGACAGTTAAAGTTTCAGATTCAGTGACTCTTCTTCAGAACCTGAAATGCTAACTCTACTTTCTCTCCACTGATGCTGCCAGACCTCCTGGGTTTCTTCAGCAATTCCAGTGTTTGCTTCAAATTTCCAGTATCCACAGTTCTTTGTTTTACTATCAGAATAGATTTCCCAGCTAGAATCTGGCTGGCAGTTTGGCCTAGTCTATAACAGGAAAAGGGCCACATTTGCACTGGGATACAACTGAAAGTTGAGCACCATAGTGCAGTCTCTTGGTCGTGTTAATAACCTGCCCCCTCCAGTTTACGTGCGTCATGATGAGCTCCAATCTATCAGAACGGCAGAGGGAGAGACTTTCTTTTCATTTATTCATTGGATGTAGATGTCGCTGGCCAGACGAGCATTTATTACCCAAAAGTTAGTTAAGAGTAAACCACATGGCCGTGGATCTGAAGTTACATATAGGCCAGACCACATTCAGAATGACAGATTTCCTTCCCTGAAGCAAATTGGATTTTTCTGATGCCAACTAACCATCTTTTTATCCTAGATGTTATTGAATCCAAATTTCACCATCTGCTATGGTGGGATTCAAACTTGTGTCCCCAGAACACCACCTCCCCTTGAAACTAGAGTGGAATCATGCCTGTCTGGATCAGTGTAACCTAAGAGAACATATCCTCCAATGTTTTTTTCCACTCTTTTCCACCAATTCAGGAATTTTAACCTGGTGCACAATAAAGCATTCAATAGTCAGACAGTCCAAGAAAAAAAGCATCAGTCACAAGCATTGTTCCTTGTGAGAAGTGCCTTATGACAAAATCCACCATTGCACAGATTCATGTTCCCAAAACAATAGACCAGAGTGAAAATTTTTTGGAGTCAGGTAGTTTATGACACTGACTGGCAAAGCCTTGTACGGCCATATGGGTTCCAACTATAATGGATTCATAACTTCGAAATTCAGCCAGATGGTAATGATTCCATGCCCTTTTCAGTCCCAAGGAAAGAGATGTCGGTGTTTTTTTTCTGGCAAGCATAACAGGTATTGTTGCCAAGCGGTTATGAACCAAATGATCAACCCAGAAACCATGCATTCAAATCTCACCAAAGCAAGTTAAGAAAATAAACTCAAAACTGGCCTTGAAAGCTGTTGTATATTTATTACCTCAACTGGTCGAACTGTTACCTTTTAGAGAAGGTAATCTACTGCTCTAGTCTAGGCTGCAATTCCAGGTACCTCCATTATGTGATTGATTCTTATCGACTGCCAAGTGGACAAATGCTGCTCTGCCAGTCAGCCACCATCTAAAGCCTTGTTTTAAAAGCCATTTGCTCTTTTCCAGAAAAGAAGAGGCATTTTTTTTTTTAAATGGGGCCACATCTGTTCTGCTACAGACTGAAAATATCCCAAACACAGAAACTTCCTGCCATGATGTTCCAGTCAGCAAAAGAAAGCACAGTCTTACACTTCAATGTCAGGCAGCGAGCGTCTATAGTAAGGTGGAAATTGATATAATAGGAGTCCTCACCATAGCTCATCATGTTGCATGATTTGCTGCAACCGACATCTGTGATGGTGGGGATCCATAAACCACTTGGTCGTCTGGCGAGAACTGACTCATCGTAAACAAGGTGTCATTTATTGTATGACAGCAACAACGTACAAGTTCTATTAACAAAGTAGAATTTTGGCTTGATATTAGATATCCCTGCTAAGTGTATTTTTAGCAGGGTGTTAAAGGTGGGGGAGGCATGTACTGTAGGTTAGGGGTTCCAGCCAACCACCTTCCCTTATAGCCTTGAGTTGACTCTCAATTTGGAGACTGGATGGGCAACAAAACCGGCAGCCCACTCGCCGTATGTAGATAAATAAATTGCAGTCCACAGAGCTTGTTCACAGCTCAAACTAACCCCAATAATTCTTTGTCCATTCCATAATATGGTTGACAATAGGCAGGCAGATAAAAATGGGCAATCTGCTTTGTTATAAATGGCAGGATGGAACACAGCTCTATCTATGCCCATTTGGGCGGAACCCCACCAAAGATAGGAGCCTGCATTCTTACCATCAAAATAGATCAAAATCATTCACCCATCCTGCTTCACTCTCTGAGGTAATAAAGACCCTCCCCCACTCCCCGACTTACTTGGATCTGGGATCCACTGAGCTTCCTTTGTGGGCTCCCCTGCAGTCCCAGTAATGCCCAATACAGAGCTGTGACATTGCTAGAACTGGGGTTACGTCCCACTACTGAGGGCTGAAAGTCCTACTCTGCACTGCTTTAGCCGTGCACTGCTTCAGGCTTGTTCTCCTTCTGTTGGCTGACCACTGACCTTTTTTATCACCAAGGAAAGGCAAGTCTATCTGCCCAGCATTTCTGTCCATTATTGCAGAGATGATAAGGAAGGTCTGGCCGGGAAGCCTTACTCTTTCAAAGTCCTGAGCTGCTGTCCCCACAAGCCTATATGACATCATTATTATGGGTGCTACTTAAGGCAGTCCTCAGCACAAATCCATTCAGGCCCTGATATCCTCGTTCACCCTCACCCCCAAAACTTTATTTTCATGATTGTACACATAATTACATTTAACACAGACCTATCTCCCGCAAATTTCTGATCTCGTGAATTCAGGCAGCCTGGAGCTTTTGCTATCTCACAGAATGCACTCGGACTGGAATACTGTTCAATGAGGATTGTTGACTTTGATTCTGTCCCAGACAGAAAATCCTTTGAAACTTGTGGACCTTCTGCCTGGTTCTGGCACTGCACCTGGTGATCCAAACACGCACAGTGTCTCTGTTCCAGGACATCCTCCAAAAGTGAAGCTGGTATAATGATACATTCATCATACACAAGTAAGTCTACGTTGTGATGTGTTCATTGTCACCTATTGGGTCGTTGGTCTGTCCATTATGGAAAAGTAGTGAAATGGAAAATTGAAGCAAGAATTGGCCATTCAGCCCACTGATCCGGCTCTGCTATTCATGGCTGATCCCCTATCCAAATGTCGTACTCCAGCTCTCTCTGCTATACCCATGACATAATTTGTCTGAAAATCAATCCATTTCTGTTTAAAATATATTCATTGACTTGCCTTCCACTGGCTTATGTGATGAAGAATTTACAGATTCATCCTTCTATGAATCAAGAAATTCCTCCCTATCCCAGTCCAAACTGGCCTACCCAGTGTCTTGAGATTATGACACCTTGTTCTAGATATCTCAGTCAGGGGAAAATATCATTCTTGGATCTAGTCTGTCCAACTCATCAGAAATTCATGTGTTTCCATAAGATCCCCTGTCATTCTTCCAAACTCTGGTGAATACAGGTCCAGCTGACCTAATGTCCTCAGATATGACAATCCTGCCATCTCAGGAATCAGTCTGGTGAACCTTTGCTGCACTCTCTATGGCAATAATAGCCTTTCTTAGGTAAGGAGATCAAAACTGCACACAATACTCCAGATAAGGTCTCACAAATGCTCTACACTCCTGTTCTCAGATCCACTTGCAATGGAAGCCAACATAACATTTGCCTTCAACACAACTGTAATGAATGGTGACACATGGCTGTCATCCTTACCTGGTCTGGCCTACATGTGACTCCAGACCCACAGCCATGTGGTTGACTCTTAACTGCCCTTGAGCAATTAGGGATGGGCAATAAGTGCTGCCCAGCCAGCGATGCCCTCATCCTGTGAATGAATAAAGAACAAAAACATACTTGGCTAGTCTTATGTTCCTGTCATATTTGGTGGAGCTGATTGTGGCTCACAGACCTCTGTTTCCTATTGACAGCATAACAAATTTCTTCTGCCACCATAACTCATCTCAGTGGGCTCTGTGTTCTGTTTGGCACATTTTCTAATTGGCACAGTCCTAATTTGGCACGTTTTCTGAAAGTGACATATTGTTTTGCAGACAAAGCATTTTTTTTAAATAGCCAGGCACAGCTGTACCTATGAGGATGCATTGCTCCACAGCACTGAAAATAGTATCAAGGGTCTGTCCTACTTGCTGCACTAGCTTCCTATGTGTGTCTTTCAAACTTTTGTACCTGCAGAACTGAATAGATTCTGATCTCCTGTGAAATAGTTGATCATCTTTTATTAAGATTGATCAGTACTGTTTCCAGATTTTTCCTTCACTCAATATCCGAATAGCTTGCTCTGTATTCAAAACTTCTTTCGATCATGCTAAATCTGAAAAAGCTTCATCAGCAATTTGAACAGCAATTCAGGCTCCTAAAAATTCTGACTTTCAAATCACCATTGTTGCATTTTCCATTAATAGGTAGTGATAATTAATGAAATTACCTACGGATTCTCCTGAACTCTAAGAGTATTTATTGTTTTTTTTTATAATTTTACTTGTTCTGAGATTAACATAATTGTTAAAGGCTTTTTTTCCAGAAGGTGTCAAGCTTTTTGAATGTTTTTGGAATTAGGCAACTGGAGAGCATTCTATCACACTTCTGGTTTGCGCCTAGCACGTGGTGAATACATATCTGGATGGCAGAAACTGGGTTACTTGGTGTAGAATTCCTAGCGTCTAACCTATTCTTGTTGTCACAGTATTTAAATAGTTGGCTCAGTTCAGCTTCTGATCAACGGTAACCCACAGGATGTTGATAGTGGGAGATCCAATAATGGTAATGCCATTGCATTCAAGGAGTGATAGATTCTCTCTTGTTAGAGGTGGCCATCGCCTGACACTTGTGTGGCAAAAATGTTACTTGATATTTATTAGCCCAAGCCTAGATATTGACCAGGTCTTGCCACATATGGATATGGACTGTTTCAGTATTTCAGGTATCAAAATGGTGCTGACCACTGTGCAAACATCCCCTGTTTTGACCTCATAGTGGCAGTAATGTCACTGATGAAGCAAGT